GGTTAAGAGAGACTGTTAACGAGGGCCCAAATATTCGCCGTTTTCGTTGGCAATTGAGGTGCCAATTTCTTCAGAAATTTTAAAAACAAACGATATGAGACCATAGTGCAGGTATGGGACGACATGGCGAGACTGCTCAGGTTGAGGAGTGAGATTTGGGGGCTCACCGGTTTTTCGAAGTTGCGACTAATAGTAGAAAACACTTACCTCGTGCTTTGTTCTGCTGACTAAGAGAGGTCAGATCCTGCGGGCAAACACGGTTTTGGATGTCGCACCTAAGAACCATGAGTTCTCTAAATTAAATATGAAGCAACCGGTAGTGTATTGTTTAGTGTCGCCCTGGTGTAAAAAAAATATACGTCGGGCAACAGTTAGGGGTGTAGTGGAGAGATGGAGGGAGCATGTAAGATGCACAAACGCAGGAGACAAGGGTAGATCACCAATTCTTTATAACTGGTTACGGCGGTATGGGTGGGATAATTACCTAGTCTTACCGATCGCTTCGACGCAAACTACGGGACTCAGGGCGCTGAAGACAACGATAACCAAACGATTATCCCCAGCGTTAAACAGGGTCGAAGTGGATAGGAAAGGAAAAAAGAGGAACAGATCGGGAAAGAGGGAAAGAAAGAAAAAATACGGAAAAGAGGTAGCAAGGAGAGGAAAACGCTCATCACTTTCAGGCTGCGAAATGAGAGGGAGGGGAATACGAGCCTTAGGAAAGTCTTAGAGAGTGCGAATTGAACTGGGAAAACCGCCTGCGTGATAAGTAGCGGGGGTAAGGTATGGAGGGACGACTGGGCCCTGACAAAAAGACTTCATGGTACAACGTCAGTTGTGCACAACAACGGAGAGACGATTGCTTTGGCAAAAGCGAAAGCGCTGCTAGAGGAAGGGGGGGAGTTCTGGCTAAAGGTAATCACGCGAACTGAATGTGCGCGGGAACGGAGCAAGGGTTATCTGCGGCTTCTCCTCGAAGTACCGCACAAGCGAAAGGAGTTATGGAAGATGGGAATAGAAAGGCTAATGCAGCTGTACACGGGGGCGGACGCTTTCTCGGAAAAAGGGAAGAGGAAAGAAATTAAAGAAGTAGTTGGGAGAGTTATAAGGAGGAAAACAAGGGTAAATGTCAGGCATAAGACAACGGTGTCAGTGAGATATGATAGAGATATAAAGAAGGTGGAGGTAAGGGTGGAGCTACAAAGGTTGATAAGCAAGATGAAAATCCATGCAGCAGTGAAAGGAGTGTTGACAAGGCGTACTCGGGTGGTGTGGAAGAGAAACAGGTTTGTAGCAAGCATATTGTGCAATCACTTAACAGCGGTGAAAAGCGGGGAGGAAAATTGCATGTGTGCAGGAGACAATCTACCACGAGTGGATGGGCATGTGATCACCCGAATCACTCAGATTCCGGGAGTGAACGAGTTAATCTGCAATGGGAAGAATATCACAAGGCCTACACAAGGAACGGGGGAAGGAGAATTGAGGGAGAGGATCTCAAGTGGAAGTCTAGCAGTGAGATATTCCAGTGAAGAAATGCTATGTGGAACAGACGCATGCAAGCCCTGCGATCACGAAAGAAGAGGTCACGGAAGTCAAGAGAGTATTTAAGCACTTGGTAATCGCGCCGGTGGACAGAAACGCAGGGGAAATATTGCTGCTGTGTCCGTCTACATATCACACGCATTGAAGAGAATGTTCATCTACAACGGCGCCTACAAGCAAGAAGGAAGGAACGAGAAGGAAGTCATGACGGTAGCAAAGGACAGCTATAAGAAGGCAGGACTGGAGAAGATAGTGGAGTGGGATAGAAAAGGGAAGGTGGGCTGCACGTACGTAATTCCAAAACACAAGGACCTCGGGAAATGGCGACCTATTGCACCCGCTAATAGGGAGCCAACCAAGACGGGAAGCAAGAGGTTGGCCAGAGCGCTCAACGTCCTCTTGGCGAGACTCCCAGAGGCGACTACCTATCAAATAATATAAATATTACAAGTGCAATATAAATTAAATTACAATATAATTACAGGAATTACAATAATTTACAAACTTAGAAACGAGAAGTTCAAGATTCCCAGAACTTACGAGGGTGTTCAAGATTCCCAGAACTTACGAGGGTACTTGCAAAATGCCCTCGTAGGATCGGTTATTACCGTGCCCAGTACTTGCCGCAGATTCAAATAATTAACCTATATCCTATACTCCGGCATACGCCTATTATCCACCTACTCTACCGCATTTCCTTTCCCCATTTTTCCTCTCCCCATACCCGGTTATCAGTTTAGGCGTATGCTGGAGTATAGGATATAGGTTAATTATTTGAATCCGCGGCAAGTACTGGGCACGGATAAACCGATCCTACGAGGGCTTTTTGCAAGTACCCTCGTAAGTTCTCGGAATCTTGAACTTCTCGTTTCTAAGTTTGTAAATTATTGTAATTCCTGTAATTATATTGTAATTTAATTTATATCGCACTTGTAATATTTATATTATTTGATAGGCAGACACGGGGAAAGAACTCAAGCCCACCGCTCGCGTGCATTCTGTGCGCGAAATATGAGACCGAGTTCATGCGTTCCTGGGAAAGATAGAGCTTTGGTGCAGGGAATCAGGTTCATGGACGACGTCACTACAGTAGTATTGGTGGACAGGAGAGTGGAGAGCTCTTTCCACAAGGCGGAGAAAATACTGAAGCAATTCGAAGGATGCTATAGGAAAAGACTCTTGCTGGTGAGAACGGACGAGGGAGGCAACACGATCGACTTCATTGGAACAAAGGTTACGACAATTGCAGGTCCCACCAGATTCCTGATCGCACCGCAACTGACGAATCAGGAGGCGATCATCAATGGGGAGATGCCTTTCAGAAGTTTTCAGGATTACTATTCCTACTCAGACAAGAGGGCGAAGTACGGTGCAATCGTTGGCACACTCCACAAGATCAGACGCTTGGCAAATGCAGGCTGTGCGGTGATCCAATCAGTCCTGACCATGGGACAGGAACTTCGATGCTGGGGGTACCCCCCAACGTTCTTCACATCCGCTCTGGCTAGGTTCGCCAGGGGAACCATCATGAGCGAGGACGCATGGAAAACGCTCCTCGACAGCATGATGGTAAACAGAACGGACAGAAACTGATATCCGGGTAAGGGGAGAGGAAAAATGGGGAAAGGAAATGAGGTAGAGTAGGTGGATAATAGGCGTATGCTGGAGTATGGGATATAGGTTAATTATTTGAATCCGCGGCAAGTACTGGTCACAGTAATAACTGATCCTACGAGGGCATTTTGCAAGTACCCTCGTAAGTTCTGGGAATCTTGAACTTCTTGTTTCTAAGTTTGTAAATTATTGTAATTCCTGTAATTATATTGTAATTTAATTTATATTGCACTTGTAATATTTATATTATTTGATAGGCAGACACGGGTACGGGCTCAGACGCGGGCGAATTTCCCGCTTGCTCAACTGTGGCTCCGTAGGGCAGTCCCCCGATCGCAAGTTTTAAAATGCAGGAAGTTTAGTTTCGGAGCAACGGAAAGCGGGCGCCGCAGGGCAACGGGTAGTAAGCACCGGCGCCCGAGTAGTAAGCACTACCGGAATAATAGGACCTAGGAGAGGGCATGAGAAAGTACGGTGGGAAGGACGGGGAAATTCAAAAAAAGTTTGGTGAGGAATAATGGATTTCAGGAGGGAAAGTGTGGACGCGACAACTCAGTTTCGAATTTCAATTTCCAGGACTTACGTGGCGGGAAATACACGCGAACTACCTGGGAAATCCAGACAGCCCTGCACGCGCCTAGGTTACGAGGGATTGAGCGGCTGCATGGGATCTGGGGCAGACACCCACGATCCTGCGCAGGGTGGCACTAGCCAATCAGCATGCACAGAAGAGCTAGGCAGCACGTGCAACAGGGAGGCCGAGAGTATAAGTCGAGGGCAAGGCCGTATCGGCCCTCACAGCTCAGTGGGTGGTAGAGAAAGGTGGGCCAAAAGGCGAGAGGGTTTGCGGAGAAGCCTCCTGATGAGACCGGGGCGCACCCGGTTGAAGCATGTAGAGGAATGCGTGCGCGTATGAGCAGTATACACGCTGGTAGGAAACGGTTCTTTTTGGAATGCGTGTGAAGAGCAATCTGGCCATTGCTTACCTTTCTTCTTCTCATTTTGAACCCCTTTATAATGAAAAAAAAACAAACGAAAAACGTAGAGAGAGAGAGAGAGAGAGAGAGAGAGAGAGAGAGAGAGAGAGAGAGAGAGAGAGAGAGAGAGAGAGAGAGAGGTGCTTTTCGGCGAAGGCATTATGAGCAGAGGTTTTAGTCTTGGATATCGATCAGATCAACTAGATGGATGGTTCGGAGGTGCAACGGACTGTCGATCAACTACCTTCTTCCACCGAATACAACGTACGGTCATTATAGCTGTATTTGAGGCATCTTTCAGTCTAGGTACATATATAATTATGACCGTACGTTGTATTCGGGGGAAGAAGGTAGATGGATGATTTGGTGGTGCAAAACGGACTGTTGATCCAATGCTCGGCCTTGGGGAAGCAATCAGTGCTGTCAGTTGAAACTGTAATTTCCTGTTTGACAAAGCATGCAGGACATCACTACTTAGGAGAATCAGCTAAGAGGGGATTATAACGGCGAGATGCTTTCGTAGATCGTGGGTTTTTCAGTCGTTGATGAGGCAATGGGAGCGACTCGATCACTTGTTATTTTATGTATGCGTGAGGGACGCTGGACCCAACCACGTGCTGCTCCCCCCACATGTAGATTAAGTCATCGTACTTGCCGGCCCCTATGACCAGGTGCTCTTACCACCCAGGTGGCAGAGGTGGTGGCCCCGAGTGATGTTGG